ACTCGACCAGAGATATTACATGATCTTTTGAACGGAAACCTATATTCTTGGCATAGAATACTTCCTTACCAAAGAGATAGTCCCAATATACTAATGTTATAGTATCTGTCTTAGTTCGCATGGTCAAGTCTCTAGCCTCTTGCTTTGACAGTGATGATCTATCTACAGGATCATTTAGCAAGGAGCCTTCTAGGGTTGGCATGTATAAATCTGTAGCCATCTCATCCATGCCCTTTTTGCTAATACCCTTATGCTTAGACTTCGTGGTCTTATCTGCTAAGACATAGTGGTAAGACTTAGCTCGGATCTAAAATGATTCTGTGATTACATTACCTGGGGTCTCATCTTTAAACTTGCCAATAGTTACATTCCCATTAAGGGCAAAGATGTCTGGTCACTCTGCCATATCTTTATAGATATCTTCAGTCTCAATTATAAATATAAAGGAATCAGTATCTATGTATCCAAATCTAGCCTTATCCCTATATTTCTTTTTCATATAATCATATCAGAAGCGGTACATTAAAAGTTTACTAAGACCTAGAACTGATGCTCTAACAATGATTGGTTTATTGAGAATTACGCTAGCTTTTCTCATATGTGCACCTACTAGCATATCTTCAAATAGTCTGTCATATTTGAAATTTGGGCTTTTGATTTTCTTGAGAAACTTCTTCTCATCTGACTCATTATTATAGACCATAATCTTAACATCCTAGTACTTTCTAACATTTTCCATAGTCTTACCATATACCGAATTATTCATAAGCTTGAAGAAGTCTTTTTCAAATGCATTCTTAGCTTTTTTGCGTAATTTAGTATTTTTTGCAATATATAGAGCCAACCAGTTTGTCTGATTAAATGATAAGATCTCTGTGACCTCATCTACAATCATACCCAACTTTATATAATACTGGAGCTCTTGATAATAAATGACATAATTTTTTCGTGCACCAAGATGGGGGACTAATTTTTCTGTTGCATAGAATCGTCCACCATAGCATTTCTGTTTTTACTGCAATATTTTTCACAGCTGGTAGTAAGTCCCTTAAATAGTTGTGAGTCTTTAGGAGAAAATGGGAATTAATCATTAGAAAGAATCCATGTGATGCATCTGCTTCAGTCTTAAGAATTATTTTGAGATATTTCTTTTGCATCTTAGGATTATTCTTTAGATATTCTCAACTAGCAACCCACTTATAATTTCCAATTGAGAGAAATTGGCTTATGGCCCAGCCATAAAGATTATTTGCATTGACATATGAGATCCATGTTGTTGGTTAGGATATATTAAATGCATCTCCCATATTAGGATTATTTGCCTTGAAATGTTTATGTACTGCCATAGCAATACCACTACGCTTCGCCTTTTCAATGAAGTCATGCATTGCCATTTCTGTAAATTTCTCGATCTTAACCTTGGTCATCTTAAGCATAGCATCCCAGGATAGAGAAGATGTCTTTCTAAATGTTGTCCAGACATCTGCTAAACTAAGCACATCTATTTTGAGATAGAGATCATTATATTCTCCCAAGTTCTTACACCCAAATTCCTTCCATATATTTTGAGTATGATTATAATCCTCTTGTGAAATCTTACCTCCAAGAACACTATAAAACTCATGAATCAGAGGTAATTCTATTTCCTTAAATCGGTCATGAGAGTCTATGTATTCATGAGGAAAGATTCCTTTGCGATATGCTAAGGAAATCTGTTCA